TGAGGTCCGCGTCCGCGGCCTCACTCGGCGCCCGCGGCACCCCCCCGAGGCGTCGGCAAAGCGCTCGGCCGCCAGCGGGCAGATGTCCACCTGCTTGGCGGGCGTCGCCCCGGGCGGGGGCAGCGCCAGCTCCTCCGCGTCGACTGCGCGCGTCGCGCCCTTGGGCAGCACGCCCCTGCCCTTCGAATCTTCCCCCGGGGCCGAAGGCGCCCCGTCGCCAGAGTGCGGCGAGGCCCGAGCGACCAGGGCGCGCTGAATGGCAGCGCCCTCGCCCCCTCGACCGCGGCCTCCGGCGGCCGCAGCGACGTGGCCCCCTGGAGCGGCGTAGCCCGCTCCCGCGAGGCCGACGGCCCACGCCCGTCTGCCGCTCCGACTCCGCCTCGCGAGAGGTGATGCATGGATCGGATCAGCCCGTTGGCGAGAGCTCGCGCCATTCGAAGGGCGCCATGATGCATCGGCACCGCGCGGCGCGCCGCGACCGCCCGCGGCAGCAGCGACACGCCCGGCAGAAGATCTCGATCGCGTGGCGCGGCGCGGAGGCCGCGTTCGAATTAGACGACGGAGAAATGCGTGGATTGAGAAAGGGTGGCATGCCGTCGCTTCCCAAGGGCAGCAAGGCCACGCGACAAGAGCGTCGCGACCAACAGGGCCACCGCGCACACCGCCAGGAAAGTAAGCCCACTTGAATGGCCGTCGTCGACGCGAGCGGAGAGGCGAACCGCCGTCTGGGCCGTCTGGGCCGTCTGGGGCGTCTGGGCCGTCTGGGCCGTCTGGGCCGCCTGGGCCGCCTGGGCCGCGCGGCTGCAGACGGCCCAGACGGCCCGCGCGGCCCAGACGGCCCAGACGGCCCAGGGAGCCCAGACCGCCCCAGACGGCCCAGACAGCCCAGGCGGCCCAGGCGGCCCAGGCCCAGACGGGCGACCCAGACGGCGGCCCAGACGGCGGCCCAGACGGCCCAGACGGCCCAGACGGCCCAGGCGGCCCAAGCGGCCCAGATGGCCCAAACGGCCCAGACCGCCCAGACGGCCCGGACGGCCCAGACGGCCCAGACGGCCCAGACGGCACAGACGGCGCTGACGGCGCTGACGGCGCTGACGGCGCTGACGGCGCTGACGGCGCTGACGGCCCTGGACGGCCCAGGCGGCCCAGACGGCCGCCCAAACGACGGCCCAGACGGTTCAGACGACCCAGATGGCCCAGACGGCCCAAACGGCCCAGACGGCCCAGACGGTTCAGACGGCCCAGGGCTCCGGTCAACAGGCAAGTAGATTCGGAGATGCCACTGGGATTTCGCACCCCCCCGCAGGTGCCAGCGGACATCGCCCTGGCGCACGACCTCGAACAGGGTTACTCGACCGCCTTCTTGTCCCACCTGTCGGCCCAGGGCCAGACCGTCGTGAATTTACACCTCGGGAAAACCCGCGGGGACGTCACTCAACTCTGTGCAGAGCGCCTCCCCCTACCAATCGACGCGTTGTGCGCGGGGCCACCGCGCCCCCCGTGGTCTGCGCAAGGGCAGAGGAGGAGCGGCAAAGATTACCGGGGCGATTTTTTTTATTTTCTTATACATGCTCTATTGGATTATCTATCTCGTGCACCAGGGTGGATTGTTGATGCGCGTGTTGGAAAATGTTGAAGGTCTGGCGCACTCCATCAAGGGGAGAATCTCGATGGCCGACCATTTCCTGAAGATTTTGAGACGGCGCGTGCCGCAATTCCACTGGTCCATCTGCAAGTTGTGCGGCCAAGATTACAAGCTCCCCCAAATTCGTGTGCGCTTATTCCTTCGGGGCATTCGAGCAACGTTGGCTCCTGGCGTCCCAGATCCCGCCCCAGCTCTTGGCCCCGGCCGCCTGGGGGACTTCCCAGGCACGATGCCCCCCATGAACAGGGGCTCCTTAACCCTGCCGCAGCAGACTAACCTCGTGGCTTACGAAAAGCTCATCAAGGACCATAGTCTCCACGAGTGCCAGCCACACCCCGAACCCTCTTGAAGAGGAGGAGGAGGAGAAAGAGGAGGAGGAGGAGGAGGAGGAGGAGGAGGAGGAGGAACAGAGACGCGCTGGGCTGCCCTCGACAGCAGCGGAATCGCCCCAGATCGGCGGCGCTGGCTGGAGGCCACTACAATCGAAGACCCAACGCGCAGGAGGGCTCGGGGTTTGGATCGCGGGTTGGGCGACGACAACAGTGTGGGCAGATTTGTTTGCTCGCCGAACCATGCAGGAGATGCGCCAGAATGGCGAGGTAGAGGGCGCGTCGATCGCCGTCGTTTCCCTGGACAGGGGGGAGGGCCGAGTGCACCAGCTGGACATGCACATAGACAGTGTACCAACACTCACTACGGCCAACCGCTACCTGGCAGTGCTTTCAACGCGTATCCCCCAGTGCTCATAGTGGCTGTGCTTCGCCTGATGCTCGAATTATGCAAGAACAGTTTCGATTTGCCCACCTGGCCCCGTGGTCCGTTTGGCGGGCCCTTGCGCGCAGATGTGCCACTGCGCGCGATCATGTCCGAGTTGCAGCGCAATCCACCTCTGCGGCGACAGGCCCCCAAAGCGAAACCAAAGAGTTCTCGCCGGGTGCGAAGCCCCAGCCCGTAGGCGGGACGAGAACCCCCAACGGCCAACCGTGAAAATAAGCCTGGCGAGGGGTCCAGCAACATGCAGCTGTGGGGTGGCAAAAGTGATATGCATCTGCGGTGGAGCTCCATGGGCGTTTCATGGGGCGCGCCGACATGGGCGCAGCGGACGCACGTGGGCATCGCCGCTGGGCTTTTCGGCGGAGGTTCCGAATGGGGCAACGAAGCGTGTGCGCCGAAACGGGCGTGGCGGACGCGCGTGGGCACGTCCGGTGGGGCCGTCGGTTGGGCCCCCAAAGTGAGCCGCGACACGTGCGAGGGGCGCCCCGAAGTGGGCACGGCGGACGCATGTGGGCACCGCCATAGGGGCCCGACGTGGAGCTCCCTGTGGACCGCAAAATATGTGAGGGACGTGCCGACATGGGTGTGGCAGGCCCATGTGGGCACCGCCATTCGGCCCTCGGTGGAGCTCCATGTGGGGCCACGAAACACGTGGGCCCTGTGCCGAAATGGGCGTGGCTGACACCTGTGGGCACGGGGCCGTCAGTGGAGCTCCTGAGCCCCAGGGCCACTTACCTTTTCGTGTTTGCCCAGGGCGCCTGGGCCACCCCCTAGACCAGCGTAGGGCTCGCGTGCAGCTCGCGTGGAGCTTGTGTGGGGTTCGCGCGGAGCTCGCGCGGGGCTCGCGCGGGGTTCGCGGGGGGCTCGCGCGGGGCTCGCGTGGGTCTCTCGTGGAGCGGGGCTCGCGCGGGGCTCGCGCGGGGCGCCCTTCGTCCACGCGCATTATCTCGCGGGGCGTTCTTGCCGTTGCTCCTAACACAGGAACCCGCGCTATGTTGGGACAATCAGATTCGGGAGGTATTGATTTGGGGCCTGCAGAGGCGTCGAGGTAAAGTTCGGGCCATTGCTGAGCCATGGTAGTTGCTGCGGCGTTTTCGCAACGCTATCGAACATTGTTGGAATTTCCGCAGCGCATTAGCTCAATGCGGCGGCTCAGCCACGCATTGACGCCTGCAGTTTGTCAGTATCTCAATGTGGCGGCTCAGCCACGCATTGGCGCTTGCAATTTGTCATTAACCCATTGCGGCACTGCAGCAAGTGGCTCTGTCCCCTATAGCAGCTTGTTTTCTGGTCAGCACAACGCTGTGCCGATGCCGCCTACGCGCCCCGCCCCACGGCGGCAGAGGCCGCGCTCAAGTTTCCCGCCGCGCTGCTCGCCTTCCAGGAGGCGAGAGAACACTTGAAGATCTCCGGCGAAGCCGCTACGTCCGACGACAAGGACCGCGCTGTCAAGGATATGATCGCCATTGTCAACAGAGGCACCTCTCTCTCAATGAAGGAGGCTAGCGCGCTGATCGAAACCACGAATCCCGACTCCCTCGACGCCGCCCGCAGGATCAAGGTTATCCAAGCCGTCAACTCGAAGGTGGTCGGCGTTTCCACAGATCAGAAGAAAAACAAAGACCGTCAGGATAACCAAGTGTGTTGGCATTTTCACAACTACTGCAACGCAGAGTTCTGGGCTACGGTGCGTGGCCCCCAGGCGGATTGGAACACAGTTGCGCAGACGGTCGGTAACTACATGGAGAAATTCGGATTGTTGTGGCCCACAGACCCGACCGTCTTACAGATCACGTGCTCCATAGTGGCGGCGCGGGCACCCCCGAACCGCGCCTTCGTTGCGAACCCCATGGATATCTACAACAAGAAAGCTGATATCAAAAAGGAATACAAACTATTGAGGCGACGTGTAAAAATGCCCCGCCATGGAGTTGTCAACAACTACCCGGCAACACCCGGTGAGCTTAAGGTGATGTCCGAGGTTGTCTACAATAACGCTTTTCCAGCAGGCGAGTCCGATGTTGTGACGTGCCCCGTCGAGGACCTTCTCGTCAATCGGTTGCGCATGCGCATGGCATGCAGGTCCAATCACTCTTTGATCAAGGACACGTGGGTATCGAACGTGAAGGGGGGCACATACACCTAGAAGAGCAAGGGCGCCGAAGTCGGCACGAAAACACGACTTAGCACATGGAAGCGCGGTAAAACATTGCACGGAATGGCGCAGCACAGCAAGGCATGCACAGCTACACACGGGCATGTGCATAGAGGCGTGCACCCAGGGCTGGGTCAATCGCGTGATGGATGTCTCTAATGGCGCAACACTCAACACCGATCTGCACAGCTATCACAATGCGTAGCGTTGCATCGCATGGCACGGCTGTGCGTTTCATGCGCATGGTGTGGGACAGTACGACATGCTACAGTATGCCATGCCATAACGCAGCGTGTCAGGGAATACCGCACAGTACCGAACCACAGCGGATCGTAGCATACAACATTGAAGCATGAGCAAAGCATGGCGTTTCATTGCGTTGCATTCGAATGCGTTGAACTACTCTGCCTATGACTCGCACGCGCCCTATAGGACCCCGAGGGTCTTCCACCTGCCCCCGACCAGTAACATCCGTTGGATGCTGCATTGGGAAGAATCCGAACTTGCCCAGAGGATACCTTCACGCTGACCGCGCAGGGCGCGCGCTTTGCACTGCCTGGAGCGGGGCCTCAGCTGGCGCCCCCCATGCACGACGGCTTCGGCGGCCACCCCCAGATCGGCCACGGCGGGCACGGCGGCCACGCCGACCAGGGCGTAGCCACACGAGCGGGCTCACGGTGCAGATCGGACCGCGGAGGCTCGCCATCTGTGACGCCGCGGCTCCCGCAGCAGCAGTCGCAGTCTCTCCCTAGAGGAAAAAGAACTATGCACATGCACCGATCCTGGCCAGGCCCATCCTGAGCCCAGGATCGGTGCATACGCCCTCCTGCCTTGGCCAGGAAGGCATATGCACCGATCCTGGGTCAAGGGTGGGCCTTGCCAGGATCGGTGCATGTGCATAGTTCTCTTCGCCCGATCTCCCGCAGCAGCAGTCGCAGTCGCAGGCAGCGCTCTCCCGCCCGCGGCCCAGCCCGGGCCTGCTCCTGCAGTGCCCGAGAAGGACGTCGAGCCAGTTGATGCGGTGCCAATCAAGGAATTGGCAAGTGAGTGGAGTGCGTTGGTCGGCAATGGCAAGAAGAAGAAACGCGCGTCGGTCGAGCCAGAGCCAGCCAAATCAAAGGCCAAAGCAAAGGCCAAATCGAAGACCAAAGCTAAGCCCGCGTCGGCGGCGATAGCGACAACCACAGCCACGACCCCGGTTCGCAAGAGGCCCGCCTCATGCATCAGCACAGCAGCAAAGGGCCACCTTCGATACCCAGGAGTGCCGACAAAGATCAACAAACCACTCCACGTCGAGGGTTGGAAAATCTACGCGAGCTTGCCTACGAAGAGTTGGCGGGTCTACAAGGACGGCAGCACAGTCGACAAGAAATTGTTCACGCTTCGCGAATCCCCATCAACCCTTCCAACAACAGCCGCTCGGGCGCAGTGCGCTGACCGGCGGGCGTTGTCCACTCCTTCTCCTCCCCCTGTTTCTCCTTCCTCCTCCCCCTCCCCCTCCCACGTCCTCCTCCATGTCATGCTTCCTCCTCCTCCTCCTCGTCCTCCTCCTGGTGTCATCCTGGAGGTCTCTTGGGGCGTCTTGGCGGGGTCTTGGGCCCTGCGAGCGCGCAGGCGGCGCTCCGACAAGCTTGCGCGAAGCTCCTGGGGTGTCTAGGAACGTCTTGGACGGTCGAAAGCGTTTCTTGGACGTGAACCTCCTTGAGGGGGAGGTGCGCGCCCCTCCCCGAAGGGGGAGAGGGGGGGCGAACAGCGGAGTCTCTAGACCACTCACGCCCTGAGGGCCTAAAGGGCTGGTGGATTTTTCTGGGGCGCAGACGGGGGCTCGGGCCGTGCAGCGTGGAAGAGCCTCTGCGAGTACATCGCCGAGGGCTCAAAGTGAGGATTCGATGTAGCGTCGGTGAGCCCAGCGAAAATCAGGGCCTGTGTGTAGACAATCAGGCGCGGGCTCTCTAGTGAGCTCAAAGTTGTAGGCTTAGACGTGTGTATGCAGAGATGGATCCTTGAACTATATATATATATATATATACTAGAACCATCGCGCGCGCTTCGCGCGCGCTCAGGTTCTAGCCCAGGCCTGGGGGGCGCTGGACGATCTTGGACAACGATATTAAGCACAGGCGCGCGACGGCATCTGAGGAGCTTCTGGGGTGTTCCGCATGCTTCGTCAACTGGCTGTTGGAGGCACCTCTTGGGTGCTTCTTGGGGGGGCGTCTGAGGGTCCCTTGGGGGCATCGGTTCTGCAATCTGAAGCCGTCATTGGCCGTCTTGGCTGCGTGGAAGCCCGACTTGAGGCCACCTGCGGCCAGATTGAGGCAATCCGGAAGCCTCCCGGGGGCCTCCTGGAAGCAGTTTTGACGCATCGAGGGCACTCTTGGGCTATTTTAAAGCCTCTTGGACGTCTCCTAGGGGCCTTTTAGGCCCTCGGGAAGCTATTGGGGTCCTCGTCGGACCACTTGGGGGCCTCTTGCGGCCTCCTGTGTGCCTTGTGGGGGGACCGATCTGCTGTTGGGTCGCGTTCCCCTTCTTGGGCCTCTCTTGGGGCTCTTGGGGCCCTCTCGGGCCGTCTTGGGCGCCTCAAGCACCGTCTTGGGGCCCTCGCGGGCCGTCTTGGGGCCCTCTTGGAGTCCTCTTCCTCTATATGGGAGCGGTATTGGAAGCCTCTTGGGCCGTCTTGGAGCATCGGGATGCCAAAAGGCCGAAAACATTAAAACCCGTCAAAGCCCAATCGTAAAACAATGAGTTGTGCCTCTTGGGGCCACCTTGGGAGATCTCTTGGAACCTCGTCGGCCCTCTTGGGAGCTTCTTGGGGGCCTCTTGGATCCGATTGGGGGCCTCTTGGGACTTCCCGAGAACCTCTCGGGGTAGAAAGCTCGGATTCTCGGTTCGTGTTTCCCTTCTTGGGCCTCTCTTGGGGCCGTCTTGGGGCCCTCTCGGGCCGTCTTGGGCGCCTCAGGCACCGCCTTGGGGCCCTCGTGGGCCGCCCAGGGCCCTCTTGGAAGCCTCTTCGGCTATCTTGGAGCTGTCTGGGAGGCCTCTTCCTCCTCCTCGTCCCCCTCCTCCTCCTCCCACTCCAACTCTCTCTCCTCCTGATCTTCCTCCTCCTCCTCCTCCTGCAGCGTGTTCCGGAAGGCTCCCGCCGGAACATGCTGTGCACAAGTGCTGTCACTGCTCCCGCCACCGTGCCCTGGGTGGTGGGTCAGAGGCCTCATGGGTGTTGGTGTGGATCTCGTGGTTGGCCTGTCGGGGACGTCGTGAAGGCAGTTTCGCAGCTTCTCGGTAGCCGTTTTGGGACCGTTGTGGGGCCTCCTCGGGGCTGTTTTGTAGCCTCTTTAGGCCTCGTTCGGGCCTCCTGGGTGCCTCTTGGGGGCCTCCTGGGCCTCTTGGGAGCTCCTTGGGGCCTCCTGGGGCACTCTTCAAGCGGGAGAGTCGAATTTTGGAGTCGTGGTCCCCCTCTTGGGCGCATCTTGGGGCCGTCTTGGGGCTCTGTTGGGCTGTCTTGGGCGACTCTGGGGCCGTCTTGGGGCCCTCTTGGGCCGTCTTGGGGCGCCCTTGGGGGCCTATTGAGCCGTCTTGGAACGTCGGACAGCCGAAAAGGCTGGCAGGCCAAAATCGTTCGAAAACCTTCGTACAATTGACGATTTCGGCCTCTGGAAGCGCTCTGGAGAGGCGTCTTGAAGCGTCGTGGAGTGCCTTGGGGGGCCTCTCGGGCCGTCTTGGGCCTATCTTGGGCGTCCTGGAGCGGTCTTTCGGCGACTCGGGGCCCGCTTGGGCCATCTTGGGAGCCTCTGGAGGCCCTCCTGGACTATTTTGGACCTCCCCGGCCGCCCCGTCCTCCCATGGGGGGTCGGAGGCGGCGGCCTCAGAGGCCCAGGACGCGGAAACCCTGTAAAACCACACGGAAAATGAGCCCCGGTACCCCCATGGCGGCTCTTCGGCGCTCTTGGACCGTTGGAAGCTCGAAAACGCGAGAAGCCAAAAACATTGAAAAGACCATTGAACATATACGACTTTGGCCTCTTCGGGCCGTACCGTGATACCTATCAGACTTCTTGGGATCTCTTGGAGGCCACCTGGAAGCCTCGAGAGCCGTCGGAAGGCTGATTGGGCTGCTCGGGAGCGTTTTGGGCCATCCTTTCGCATTCTGGGGGCTCCTGGGGGGCGTCTTGGGCCCTCCTGGAGCGCTGTGGAGGCTGCCGGAAAGGCTGGGGCAGCGGTGCCGGGAGCGTCCCCGAGATGTGGCCATATCTTTTCAGCGCGTTCCGGGAGCATCTTCCCGGAACGCGCTCGTGGCAGGGCGCCCACGTCCGAGGACGTTGGCATGGGAAACCGCAGCGCGTGATGAATCCAGCGCGTTCTGGCGAAGACCGTCCGGAACGCGCTTGGGCAAGCGCTGGGTTTGGGGAAGGCGAGTGGAGACCGTTCAGGCAGTTTGGGATGCTCGGGGCAAGCGGAAGCCATCCTCATAAGACATGCAGTCTTCCTGGAGCCGTCTTGCAGAAAACACAGAAAAACTGAGACCCTGCAGTCGTTCCTGGAGCCGTCTTGGAGCCCTCTTGGGCTGCCCTGGAGCCTGTTGGAGCCCTCTGCGGAATGGTCTTGGAGCCCGCGCCGAGGATCTGGAAAATGTCCGGGAGCATCGCGGCGGCCTTCGAGGCCCGGGACGCCGAAACCGTGTGAAAGCACAGCGAAAATGAGCCCCGGTACTGGAGGGTCGGGCAGCTGTTTTCGGGCCCCTGGGCCAGAACCATCGCGCGCGCTTCGCGCGCGCTCAGGTTCTAGCCCAGGCCAGGGGTGCGCTGGACGATCTTGGACAACGATATCAAGCACAGGCGCGCGACGGCATCTGAGGAGCTTCTGGGGTGTTCCGCATGCTTCGTCAACTGGCTGATGGAGGCACCTCTTGGGTGCTTCTTGGGGGGGCGTCTGAGGGTCCCTTGGGGGCATCGGTTCTGCAATCTGAAGCTTTCATTGGCCGTCTTGGCTGCGTGGAAGCCCGACTTGAGGCCACCTGCGGCCAGATTGAGGCAATCCGGAAGCCTCCCGGGGGCCTCCTGGAAGCAGTTTTGACGCATCGAGGGCACTCTTGGGCTATTTAAAGCCTCTTGGACGTCTCCTAGGGGCCTTTTAGGCTCTCGGGAAGCTTTTGGGGTCCTCGTCGGACCACTTGGGGGCCTCTTGCGGCCTCCTGTGGGCCTTTTGGGGGGACCGCTCTGCTGTTGGGTCGCGTTCCCCTTCTTGGGCCTCTCTTGGGGCTCTTGGGGCCCTCTCGGGCCGTCTTGGGCGCCTCAAGCACCGTCTTGGGGCCCTCGCGGGCCGTCTTGGGGATTTCTTGGAGGCCTCTTCCTCTAGATGGGAGCGGTATTGGAAGCCTCTTGGGCCGTCTTGGAGCATCGGGATGCCAAAAGGCCGAAAACATTAAAACCCGTCAAAGCCCAATCGTAAAAATATGAGTTGTGCCTCTTGGGGCCACCTTGGGAGATCTCTTGGAACCTCGTCGGCCCTCTTGGGAGCTTCTTGGGGGCCTCTTGGATCCGATTGGGGGCCTCTTGGGACTTCCCGAGAACCTCTCGGGGTAGAAAGCTCGGATTCTCGGTTCGTGTTTCCCTTCTTGGGCCTCTGTTGGGGCCGTCTTGGGGCCCTCTCGGGACGTCTTGGGCGCCTCAGGCACCGCCTTGGGACCCTCGCGGGCCGCCCAGGGCCCTCTTGGAAGCCTCTTCGGCTATCTTGGAGCTGTCTGGGAGGCCTCTTCCTCCTCCTCGTCCCCATCCTCCTCCTCCTCCCACTCTAACTCTCTCTCCTCCTGATCTTCCTCCTCCTCCTCCTCCTCCTCCTCCTCCTCCTCCTCCTCATCCTCCTGCAGCGTGTTCCGGAAGGCTCCTGCCGGAACATGCTGTGCACAAGTGCTGTCACTGCTCCCGCCACCGTGCCCTGGGTGGTGGGTCAGAGGCCTCATGGGTGTTGGTGTGGATCTCGTGGTTGG